TCCACACACCAACCTGCACTATGCAACGTGAAGTATGGCCAAACAATAGCCGTAACCAACAGCATGGAGAGGATTTAATCCAGCAGCGGATTCATTGTGAAATGTTTTGCTTTCACTAAATTGCATGAGATCGTTCACTTTAATATCCATAACTCTGTCTCATTTACAAATATTATAGTGCGCATTAACACGAAGGATTTGCCGTATATAGACTGCCGTGCAGTAACGTCACATTGTTGATAAAGTGCGTGTGTTTATGAGGCGACCGATTGTGCCATATTGTACGTACGAACGAGGCACCAAGTCCAGATTTTTTTTTCCACTGCTCGGAAAAGGGAAAATAAAACGGGGGAGATGAGGAGGGGCGGGGGCACGTTTCCAGCATGGCTTTTAGAATTTTGCTTGGCATTTGTTGTCAAACATTTTTCTCACATGTTTCACATTTTACGCGGCAGTTCGACACGCGCGACACAAGAGCTGACTCATTCTCCTTGGCACGGAGACGAAGGGAACTCTGCAAAGCTGGAGCTCACAGCTACCACAAACTCCAGCGCAAAAAAAACAATTCGGAATTGTTTACGACTCCCACCGACGGCTGGCAACAGACACACACACACACACACGGCGTGTGTGCGATGAGGATTTGCGCGGTCTGTTTAACGCGCCGTGTATTTGACGCGTGGGTTTAAATGCCACTCTCGTAATAAACTCCAGCCATTTTCATTCCACCAATGAATGAGGCCCCTCGCCACCCCCAACCATGCTAATTCGGTCAGGTTGTGTGTTTTTTTTACTTACCATAAGTTTCGATTTAAAGCTTTCGTGACTGCAAGGATTCATCTTTTTTGGTTCTAACGGTAAAGTCACGTAGAATTCTACGTGACTTTACCGAAAGAACCAAAGAAGATTACCATACGTTATCGTGCTGGTCTTTACCGGTTGGTGAAATTGAGGGGAGGCAGGACCGGTTGGGATACCACACGTGACAAATTGTAGCCATGGTTGAGAGTTGAACTGGGTCGCACTGTTCATGGCACAGCGCAATTAGCCAGGCCCGGTGCTCTGGGTGGTAACGCAGTCGGCTGTGCCACCCCCACGCCTCCTCAACCCCTCCACACGTCTCAACTTCACTGGCCCCTTATCCGAGGAGCTGGAGGCGAAGCTGACGCCAAACATTGTAACAACGTTCCACATCCATCGATGTCATGAAGCCACTGTGTATCCAGAGCTTCTCAAACTCGAGTTGAAAACTGTAGTTCAATTCCCCACGGCTCGTCGATGTTTCCAACATAACATTGCGGTGGTGCGCGAGTTTGGCACATGTTGTGAAATGGGTTGATTTGTAATCAACCAAGATTGAGAAGTCCCGATCGAAGCGTTGTTTGAGCCGGGTTAACTCGGGTCTGTACAATGTCGGGCGAATAGTTCTGAATCCCGTGCGAGAATTCAACAGCAGTGGGTTGTAAGCAACATGTGGCGCCGTTCGATGCGTGTGTGTGTTTGTGTGCGTTTTGATATTAAGTGGTTGCGAAATGGTTTGCGCAGTGTGCTACGAACACGGCTCCCGAGTTCAATTCCCGCTCACGACAGATAACACTGTGCGAATGTTAAACCGGTCGTGGGCCTCCCCCCTAGGTCGACTCAGTCACAAATGAGTACCTGGTGCGGTGTATGAACATTGCCGCTTGGGAGACAAAGGCGACCGGACCACTAGGGAGACAAAGGCGGCCGGGCGCGGTGCTGACCACCCAATCCTGCCGTGTGCCGTTCCGGCCTTCCTAGGTGCTGCTCGCTGACAGCACTTGCCCCAGCAGTATGTTAAGGCTACACGGGGGAGCTTCGTCTCTTGCTTCGACATTAAAGCTGCGTAACCGCACAAAACAATTGTCATGCGGGCCGCCGCCGGTCAGAAAGATGGACATCACTGAGCGGCTTCTCGGGGACAAATGGCAGCAAGAGGGACACTTGAATGGTGCAGCTATCGACGTGGCATCGTCGGCGTGCTTGGCGACGCTCGCACACGAGGCGAGGAGGCTGTGCGGCACTCTGAGTCCTCTGCACCCGCCAAAGCGCAGGGCACCCAGAGCAAAGAAACGACCCGGAGCCACACCAAAGGCACCTTAAGCATGGCTTCTCAATTGTAAATAGCAACCGCAGAGGATGGTAAAGTTGCAGCCCTGGGACACATTTGCTCGCTCAAGCCGCTGCTGGCAGGAGCTCCACATTAGGGAGTTCCTCTCGAGGACCCCTCTAGAGTAGAGGGTATTTGGCCTACTCTTCCGCGTTGGCCGGACATCTTGGAAGAGTTGGGAGTACCCACACTTTACCCCACGACACGTGATCTTCCCATCAACTGCTGTTCAACCGTCTACTGTATGTGTTCCTGCTTCGTGGATAGAGATGGGCTGATTTTAAGAAACTTGCACCATTATTTCGACTGCCAAGGCGGGAGATCGAATCAAACCGGCGACCTCCGTTGCAAGTCCCGTGTGCCAGCCATTACACCATTCATGGCAGCATCCAATGCCACTGTACGTGTAATAAATGTGACATGAAGCAGGCCTATGGCCCCAGTGGATTGATTTGATCAGTGGCTGTTTCCAGACACCCTTGAATCCTTATGTAGGTTGTAATTTATCTAAACCCACTGTGACCCTGACTTAATATGAAAAAAAAACCGCATTCCACGTATGGTATCGAGGTGTTTTGGCTTATAATGTATACATACTGTGTTTGAGGAATACTGTAGAATGATGGGAAGTGAGATGAAACCGAGAGAATGTGGCAATAATGTAATTTATTATTTAAATCATCATAGGTATCAACAGGGCATATTGTGCACTCGATAATATACTAATTATGGGGTAGTCAGTTTAACACGTAGGCTTTCACGACCAATATCACCCATATTAGATGTGTTTTACGGATGATATTGGTCGAACAAAAACCCTGTATTATGGAAGCATGAGGTAATATTGTTGCAGTGGTTATCACACCACGCTAATAAATACAACTAACATCAGTCCTGAGCGATATCTTGTAAAAAACCTCCCCATAGCAACTCACACTGACCAGCATGGTGAAGTATGGCGTAACAGGCCCCATGCCCGGCACGGCATGGGGGCAGCATTCGTACAGAAGTGGATTGACAAAGGGCTGAGGAGGAGTACTAAGATAGCACTAAAAAGCGAAAGGAAATTGTCCAGTTTGCCATGTAGGCTTTCGTGACCAATACAGTTTTTTGGGTTAGATCGCGTAAAAGGTGGACTTCTCCACAAATCTGGCTGTCGCCTGATTAAGCTAGTTGTGATTACTGGCGAAACGTCGTACTCAAGATTGTAAATGTTGTAGCTTGGCTCACCAACACACCAGTGTGCTGTACTCGTGACGAATTGGCATGTTCTGTTTACGTGACAACCAAAATTAATTGGTGGTGGCGGGTTTAATGACACATTTATATATTTACGTGATCTAACCGCCCAAAAAAACACCTGTATTATGTGCATTTTCCAGACAACTAAAATGTCTATTTAACGTGTGTGCCATCCTTTGTTGTTTGCGAAATACGACAGCCATTTGTGTTGCTATTATCAGCTGGAACGCAATAAATGGACATTATTGAAATGTATCCTGAAGGGGGACACGTGGCTGAGCGAATGTGCGCAAGTTACAGACATATTGACCGTTACAAAAAAGAAAGTTGCCTTAGTAGGCAGGACGCATCGCTCGCATGAACGGCGTGCTGTTAACAACGGAGCGGCCTTCAAAGGACGCAACTCGCACGACCACAGAGATGGAGCAACGAAATCAGATCACGTGCAGGTTGGATGGTTGTTGTTGTTGCATCGTAGGAACCGTTAGAGATCGCGATGGCTCGGGAAGGCATTTATCCGGGGATGGATGATGATGAAGAACTGATGCAAAGCGTTTATAAGTTATGATCCTTTGACCAGCCGACAAGCACACAGCAATAATGATGCGATTCCCCGGAGCATTTTCAGAGGATTGAATGAGCAGCCAACCCATATCGCCCTGCCCTGCATGTCACACTCATACATTATGCATGGCAAAAAAACAGAGACAAATATCCACACACTTCACCTTACAGAACTAGCGACCACCAATGAAGGCCCGCATGGCACACGAGGGGGGTGGGTGGACAGCACCACGCCCGGCAGCCTTTGTCTCCCCAATGGCGATTATTTCACATCTCTGGGAGGCTTAATCGTCACATGGGGTGGCTGTGAGTCGTCAGGTTCGTAGCGCAGCGCGCTAACCACTTACACCACCGCTCCCCGGCACACTGACGCCCACACACACACACGTGCACCCACACACACACGTGCACGCACACACACACCGCACACAACAACCGCGTTCACCACTGAGTGGCGGTGACGTCACCACAGCGCTCGTGCCATGCTAGGTGCACTTTGAGTCCACCTGGAGCGTCGAAGGCTCGTTGGCATACAAAGTACCCCCGTATAGCCTTAAGAGACTGTAGGGGCAAATGCTGTTCCCGACACAGGGACCATACACCCACGAACAAACACACCGCATACACACGCTCATACAAAGATAAAGATCCCCCGTATAGCCTTAACAGGATGTAGGGGCAAGTGCTGTTAGCGAGCACCTATGAAGGCCGGAACGGTACACGAGGGGGTGGATGGCCAGCACCACGCCCGGCCGCCTTTGTCTTCCCAGTGGCGATGTTTACACATCGCACCAGGTAGCTCATTTGATGCTGAGTCGACCTAGGGGAGGCCCCAGGACCGGTTCAGATAATCGTCACTGGTGTTCGCCGTGAGCGGGAATCCAACCCGGGTCGCCAGTTTCGTAGCGCAGCGTAGCGTAGCGCTAACCGCTACACTACCGCTCCCCAGTACACACAGACACACTCACCCACACACTCACCCACACACATGCGCGCGCGAGTGCTGTGCGTGGGCGACGGCTGGAGAGTGCAGCAGCAGGAGGAGGAGGAAGGAAGCGCGCGATGAGCGAGAGGGAGGGGAGGGAGGGAGCTCTCGGAGCGTGCGCCGAGTCTATTCCGCCTCCTCGTTCGCGTCGGAGCTGCACGCAGGGGTCTCCTGCTGACAGCCACCGTCAGGAGTGCCAGCATCGGGCGAATCCTCACACCGCTTCGCCGAGTTGCACGCCGCAGACGCATCGCACGCAGACACGTGCGCTAACGCTCGCAGCACTTTACGTGGGCACGTCAGTCGGTTGCGCGTGTAAGCAGACTCACTTGTTTGCACGTGTCCACACCGTACGAAGGAGAGGCAACATACCCCCCCCCACCCCCCCTTATAGCCTTCTAGCAGGCTGTTGTGGCAAGTGGTGTTAGCAAGCACATACACACACGTGTTTGCATGTACACAGGCGCGTGTAGTTAAAACATTCACATACGTGGATATACAGTAAAGACAATTAGACATTCACATAAAGATTAAAACGCACACTTTTGCAAATATATACTTGCCATCTTACATATGTAGTTATATGTACAAAAGATCAGCATGCATGTAGATGCACGTACGTAACGTCCACATGCAGAGACAATCACACACATACACGTGCAGACACACATTCGGCTATTGTAGTAGTTTTCATTTTTACAGTTTATCATATGTAGTACAGCAATTATTTTATTGTGCCTGATTACCCAGGGATAGCCTTATACTACTAATGTTATGCAGATACCAAATGATATTAAATATATTGCTTGCTGTATATAGATATATTTTTGTATTAATAATATATACTCATAACTAGTAGCAATTACATACACCTAATAAGATTTAATTTGAGTATTCAAAGAGCAAACCTTTACAAAAAAAACCCCAGCTCACAATATCAACTTCCACGATAATGCAAGCGTGTGACGACCATCATCAGCATCAACATCGGCACCACCATCATCATCATCATGACCAACAGGCGGTGGCCTCCGTGGTCAGATCAGACTCAAGTCCTCTCTGCGGCCACTCGGATCAAAGGGACCAGAACCGACCCAGAGCCGGATCAAGTCCAGCAGGGCTGGGGCCAGGTCCAGGGTTGTCTCCACAGGGGTCCCTGCAGTCGATGCAGCTCGATTCTCCAGCACCTCTACCGGCCTTCGGGATCTCCTTCCAGCTGCAGATCGGATTGTCACGAGAGGCCGTGACGCTCGACGCGAATGGGATGTCTCTGGCGGCCATCAGGGAGCTCGCGTGCTCAATCGTGGATCAGAAGGTATGTTGCTGACGATGTAATCTTCGGAGGGCTTTTGAGAGTTGTGTGTTGCTAATTCTTTGGGGTGATGCGGCGGTTTTATTGTTGCTCCTCACTGCAGTACTGGGCTGTTACTGCTGCTGCTGCTGCTACTACAGCAATGCCAGCAGAAGCTGATGAAGAATAATGAGCATCGTCATCATCATCATCAGTAGTAGTAGCGATTGCTCCCAACAGTAGAAACAGCAAACACTATCACCATCACCAGCAGCATCATCACGCCAACAGCACCACCGCCGACCCCAGAACCACAATGACTATCACCAGCACCACCACAGCACCGAAAGCACAACCACTACTAACCAACGCCACCATCACCATGGCACTACCAGCAGCACCATCATGAGCCCCATCTCCAGCACCAACACAGCACGATCACCAGCTGCCACTTCCATCACCACCAATTGTTACTGTACCTCACTGTTCACTTATTGTTGTGCCGGCTGGTCAGAGCAGTTACCTATGAATGAACTAACCCCGGCCATTGAAATATGGAATTTTCACAATTAGCCCGGGACTAACAATGGATAAGTGCTCCATCCGTTTGCTTATTTTCGACGAGAAACACTTTTTTGTGAAACGTCAGAGACCCGCCGATTAAATTACTTCAGGAATATTCTTGCTCAAATGACCATCGATTTAAATCCTATGAGCTGAGGCAAAGTTTACCCAGAGGATCCACACCGTTGACTTCTCCACAAAGTAGCAGTCATTTATATTCCTGGTTCTTTCGGTAAAGTCACGTTTAACGACGTTTCGACTGCAACACAAGCAATCAATGATTTTATTGTTTAATATTTTATTATTTTATTGTTTCCCTTCTACGTGACTTTACCGAAAGAACCAGGAATATGAATCCCTGCAGTCACGAAAGCTTTAAATCAAAATTTAGTAGTCATTTGTTTTGATCAACCCCGGAGGGATGATGGGTTAACGCCCAACCAGAATTTGAACTTCGGTACCCTTATTGTTTGCGAGCCGTCTTGCTCCCCCGCCGAGCCACCTGGTTGGGTTGATTGCATTACGAGCCTGTTGCACATTACACGTCCACATTCTCTTCAGATAGCAGAGACAATCAGTTTAACAGGTCTCTTCTGAAATAGAGACTATTAAAATGCATTGCACTGCGATCGGATTTGTCAGATTACAGTATCTTAATAACATACGTTAAACATTTATTCACGCACAATTTCCAGCCTATTAGTCCACTGCTGGATGAATGCCTCAGGGTCAACGAGGTTGTTTAAGCCATACTTCATCACCATCGTCAGCGTGGGTTAGTGAATGGGGTTGTGGGTGGTACCAGGTCTGGTTTAGACATCGCCCTCGCCTTGGCCTGTATTTGAACTCAAGGTCGTTGGGTACATGGCCCAGGTGAACAGCCCCAAGCAGCCACCAAGCACTCGCCCCACAGCCAGGGTCTGCGTGTTGAAACTCAACTAAAACTAAATGGGGCCACCTATCCAATCCCCCCACACTTTGTAACCTAGCAATTGGCCCATGTGATCGTGGGCCCTGGCGCAGTGGCACCGCCTGCACACTCGATGGCTATGCCACCGCAGGACAACATAGTTGCATCATTACTGATTATTGTAGCATCCTCCAGGTGGTCCCTTTGAACGACATATAAAATATATATTTTACCAGGCAAGGCCCACTGAGCTATATAGCTCTTTTTCAGAAGTGAGCGGGTTATCACAAATTATAGCTCAAAGAAGTGGCTTATCCCGTGGACATTTATCACAGCATGCTGATTCTAAATGTGGAGGGAAAAACTGGAAGATCTGGAAAAAAATCCACATGACCACGGGGAAAACATGCAAACTCAAAATATACAGCAGGCGTCAGGGTCAGGAACGAACCCATGACCTCCTGTTTACCAGGCGAGGTAGTTAACATTTCACCAGCATGGCACTGTAGCAGGGGAATTGTCGACGCCTACGACCTGCTATGAAATAGATCTTACAGACTCTCGTTAATAACCACAAGTGAGACGAACCTGTTGTATAAAGGCAGCTGGGTTGAGCTTGTACGTTAAATTGGACGCTGCAAATGCATAGCCAGGTGTTACAGAATGTGGGACTTTGAGGTGGCCATCAGCTTGGGTTCAGTCTGCAATTGGTTGAGTAGATTGGATCATCCGTGGATTAAATACATCTATGCGGAGCTTTAAGAGTTATCAGTTTCTATTTGTGGTTTCATCCGGGTGGCCTGGCTTCCTCCCATAAACTAACAAAACCTAACTGGAGGTTCAGCGAGGCTATCTTGCATAATTAAAAGGCACTTTGTAATTATTATTACGATTCTTTTGCACAAGTGTTTTATCCAAAATATGAAAATTATGCACAATTGTAATGTAAACACTGTAAGCATTGAAATGCAGAAAATAAGTTATACGTATGTTAAACTTATTTCGCACCGTATGTAGCCAACCGTGTTAATCAGAGTTGTAATTATCTCTGTTCAGCCGAGGTTTCGCCAAAAGCAGTGGCTTCATACCCTAGTGATTGCGAGCGGTGGGGGACAAACGGCTGAATTTTGGGAGGCTGCATAAGGCAGAGACATGTAACTATACACACAGGGCCCTAAGCACGATATTATAGTACTGCCTGTTTGCACAACATCACTAACTACACATGTGCATCCGGTGTCTGCATCTGCCGCTTGTCAATTCGTACCTTGAGCAATGTGTACTTCCTGGTTGTCCACCGAATCGTTGCCATCTCCAATTTGACCAACAGTTCGACAAATTGCAGAGGATGGGGGACAGCATGCATGGAGCATCAATAATTGGTCGTATTAAACAATACAATACCGTCCAATAAATGCATTTTACGGCATGTCTTGCAAACGCTGTACGAGACAAGATAGTGATTTCCGTGGGCTCAAAATATCTTGGCTGGCTCACCATTATTGAGAAAAATAGAGAATAACTAAGGTTACTATGTACGACATGGCAGCTGCTTGGGGGAGGCCTTCATCCAGCAGTGGATTTACCATGGCTGATGATGACAGTGGTGATGAATTAACGTTAATCTTCATGTTTTGTAACTCATCGTTCAATACTTTAAGAGCTAAAGTCTACAAACATGCTGAAAACATCCTGGAAACAGATCACGAGCAAACATTCGAGGAGAGTACACATGATTATTATTGTTTTGTCGTATAATATTTATATGATTTTTAATAGCTTCAGTAGTCTGTGGCACCATCTGCCACCACGGCCGTGTACACAGGAAGGCCACCATATACACAAGGGGCTCATCCTCATTCTACTTTTGGCTGTCGTGCTAAACGTGGCATGACGGACAGAAATATTTAGATACATCCGTATTAGTATAATGATGAACTTAATCATCTTTAAACAAAATCTCGCGTATTGTGATGAGTTTTTTTAATATTGTAATTTAGACATTCATTAAGAGGTGTCTGTATCAAACAATCTTAGCCTACCAGTTGCCTGATTAAACAAGTGACGTTGCTCTTTAAAAAAAAAAACCTTACAATTGGAAAATGTATATTGTTTCTTCAGAATATCTGGTGTATTCTTCATCCTTGTATGACTCGTAATTCACGAATCATATGAAATGACAAAGGTCTTTCAATAAATTAGTAGTAGTATGATTGCACAAGTTATTTGAACTGCATTTAGTTACATTGGACTACAGTATATAAAAAAAATATGTCCTTCTAAATGACAGTTGGCAGTTAAAGTGTGGCACATCTGCAAGTGCTACATCTCGTAAAAAATTGCCACAGGTCTTATAAATTATCACTCACCTGTGTTCTTTCTTCGGTGGGCCAAGCCATGGTGCGTAATGTATTAACTCAGGACACCGGTGGTGTAGCGTGGTTGGCATGGGCCCTGGTCCAGGGAATGGAATGTGGCCCCCCTGTCAAATTCCCCCCCCCCCTCCGCACGTTGTAACCCAACACCTGGCCCGACTGACCAGTTGGGCCCTGGTGCAGTGGCACAGCCTGGCTATGCCACCGCAGGACAACATCGTTGCATCATTACTGATTATTGCAGCAACCTCCGGGTGGTTATGTTGAACCACATATATCTACGTGAACCTCCAATGTTAAGAACGAATTCAGCTGCCGATTAATAACTATGTTATAATTGGCCAGTGCATTCTGAAATCGGGATTAACACAAGTTCATTCTTATCGTATTCATCATCATCATCATCTGTCCGTCTCGTCAGTGGGGGTTGAAAACATCTCTGCCACCGTTCTCTATATCGGATATTACTGCTCTCTTTTACCTGAATTATATTTCTTGTAAATGTTTCACCACTGCATCGAGACACCTGCTCGTTTGTCTTCCTGTACTCCTTTTCATTCTCGTAATGTGTCACATTGCCAAGTAAAGGTTCCTGCCCGGCCTCACTTTTGTAAAGTATTACAGTATTTTTAGTATTATTCGCAAAGGGTGTTTCACGTGACTTGACCTGGAGACTTTATCTCCAAACTTCTCTGTTGAACCAGTTCTTTAGAATGACGCGTTTATCTCGTGTGTCGATCGATGCAAGTGATTTGACGTTCTTTGTAACAAAAAAAATGGAAAATTTGCGTTTGCATGCAACAAGTGTGATAATATTAAAATCGTGGTAAACAGCATTTGGGGGTGGGGAGCAATGGTGCACTGCACTATGAACACAGCAACCTGGGAGTTCAATTCCCAGCCAAGGTTAACATCGACCTCCTTCACTCACCCTTACCATCAAGCACAGTGAAGAATGGTAAAAACAAACCCCCATGGCCGACACAGCGTAGGGAGGCCTTTGTCCAACAGCACGTGTTGTTTTACATGTTATGCATCCTGCAGCCCTATATTAGCAATCAGAGAGTAAATTAAATTATACGACAATACTGGAAAATGAAATCAAATTCCAAGAACTGTTTGGGAGGATTTTTCGCTGGTAGTTGGTAACGGGCATCATCAGGCAACTGCCAAAT